TTTGTCACTCTCCACAGCAGTACAATGTCACTTCATATGGGGCCACAACTGTAGCCATCATCACCCTGCAGACATTTGCTGGCATGTGGATAAACGCTTTCATTGTTTGTGTGCTCTGCATTGCCTGGGTCAAAAAGAAAATCCTGAATTCTAATGAGAAGATCTTGCTGCTTCTKGGATGTTCCAGGTTTTGGCATTTGTGCTTCTCATGGGTATATTCCTTTCTTTCAATGATTTATCCCAAATACTTTTATGTTCAACCCACACATAAACTTATTTTATCTATTCAGAATTTTTTTGATTGTTCCAATTTTTGGATTTCTGCCTGTCTTTGTATTTTTTACTGTATAAAAATTGCCAATTTCAGGAACAGCTTCTTCATCTACCTGAAAGTAAAAATTGACAGGATCGTGCCATGGCTCCTGTTGGCRTCAGTGCTTTTATCATTGGCTATCAGCAGCTCTCTCTACGACATAATTGATAAAGCACAGTGTAACAACCGCAATTCCACTGGGCGAAGAAATTTTTCAAAAGTGAGTGGAAAAATGGATGATGATTTTTTCCGTATTTATTTTATCTATGGCTTTGGATTTGTTGCTTCTTTCACAGCAGTCATCTTTTCTGCTGTTTCCCTTATCTTTTCTCTYTGGAGACACAAAYGCAACATGCAGACAAATTCTATGAACAGCCTCAGCATGGATGCCCACATCAAAGCCATGAAATCTRTTCTCTCCTTCTTTACAATATATACCATAAACTTTGTATTTTTGACCTTGACCCTGATTCGTGCAACACGGGAGGAAAATCCCTTGATGTTCCTTATTTATGTATTTCTGTATGGTTTCCCAGGTGTTCATTCCCTTATTCTGATTTTTAGCAATCCTAAATTGAAAAATACACTCATAAGGATTCTATGCTGTGTGAAATGCAAGGTTTGCATGAAGTAGGAGSTGTAATAAAAGCTGGAGCCCAAGCAAAATGTTGATCTTTCACTGTAGAAAATAGATGATGCAACTCTCCCAGCAGYGTAGATTATACAGATGTTCTCAACATCAAAATTAGGAAAACTTCATTCAAATACTTTAAATCAAATTGAAATGAGATAAATAAATTACTACTATGGTTTCATTTAGACAATTCTTGGARMYAAWWTATTGTCAATAACTAATTCATTTAGACCTGGTACATGGACTGGATTCAAAGGGAAAATAACAGTGCTACAAACCTACCACTAGCACTTGGCATTTGAAGATTGAAAAGTTACTCAACTTACCATCAGATTCATTTGTATTTGGGYGTCCATTTCTTTCTGCTCAAATGGCTCTGTTCTCTGCAATGTTATCACTTGTATCACTGGGTGGGGTGGGTGCACCTTGAAGGACTGCAGCCTATGGAGACCCCACGCTGGAGACGCC